TAAACTTTACACATTATATAGGCTACACTAATGTGATGTTTAGGTGGTTTGTTTAACTATTATACATGATGTACATTTTTGGGGGGGTTGGTTAATGAAAGTGCTCCAAAATGCTACATTAATTTCTTTATGACCTAATACATTGTTATCAAACTGATTTTTTTATGAAGTTTTTAAAAGTTTGAATGAGCTTATTTGTAACTGTTCATTTTAGAACAATATTCACAATGGGGTATATCCAGGATCACTCAGAAGCCTATTTGTCATTAATGTCATTATCACAACATTATATTTTGCTGGAATTGATCTCTCCTACGGAGCAATTCGTCGTCTTGAGTTGTGGATTCCAGGGTAAGTAAATCTTAACACTGTGTTTTGTAATACTAAAATAACAGTCAACATGTATTTGAGTATCTTTACAAGCTTTAAATTTTTTTTTCTCTTGTGTTTGATAAAATGTATTTTATTTTTACATCAACTGCAGGGTTCAGTTAAAATTATTTTTTCTACCAAAAGTCTTTTCCAGTAGTCGTTAATATAAATACGAAAAATTATTAGTCTAATTAGACCTATGGCAAACAAAAAAATTTAACTTTATCTTTTATCATGTATGAGTCACTCATTCAATACCACTAATCATCATAGAACACTGATCTCTAACAAATATTGATATATCTGAAATGCTGTTTTTAATTTTTGCAAAATACATGATGGTATTGTTATGTCTCTGCTCGTTTGATAATTTCCACAATTTCCGGTATATGTTCTTTCCGAGGAACTTCAGCGATACAAGTCCTTTCTTAATTAAAACTACCTTATTCTTTTTCGATACAACTTTTTAATACATTTAATAACTTTTATAACAAATGCTATAAATCACAGGGATTCACACACTTTACTTATGGTGTCTACTGTTCGCTTGACTCAATTATCTCTATCTTCATTCTGTCTGCATATCTATATCTCTATCTTTTATATCGTGCTGGTTTTTCTCGCCAGTCTTTTATACTAAAAAAGAGGGTGCTTTGAAACAACTAGAGTTGCCAGGAAAATTCATGATCCTTCTAGAAACTCCAGGGTGCAGTTGTAACACTGCCCCTTCCTTAGTATTGTTTGTCCCAAACAATAGCCACTTACATTAAACTAATAGATAGTTAACAATAACTTGATTAAATGTACAGAATTTACAAACACAAAATTAAAATACCAACTAGAGTTGCCAGCAAATTTCATGATCCTTCTAGAAACTCCAGGGTGCAGTTGTAACACTGCCCCTTCCTTAGTATTGTTCATCCCGAACAATAGCCACTTACGTTAAACCAATAGATAATTAACAATAACTTGATTATATGTACAGAATTTACAAACAAAATTAAAATACAACAAAGTCTCTTTTACAGGACGTATCTTTTTCCATACTGGTCTCTATCTCATTGGCTTCTGCTTCACGTGGGGTTCATCTGCTTCATCAGGAAATGTCCTATTATTGGTATCAGTCACATCAGTGGTAGTGACTTCATTAACGGCTTCACTGTTTTCCCTCTCAAAACCGGGTAGAGTTCCTTCTTCGACAGTGGCTTTTTCAGGTGACACGTCTTAAGCAGCATCATTTGTTCCATTGTTCACTTCGTTCCAACTGAAATGACCTGGACCGTGATAACGCCAAAGCCTGCTGGCATGCACCACCTTTGGCTTACCTCGCCGACCACATTTTATTCAGAAAGTCACGTCTGAGAGACGATCCACTATGTCATATGGGCCTTCCCATGGAGAAGACAACTTGGGAGACTTCCCATTGATCTTCCTGGAATTATACAACCACACCTTCTCTCCTGGTACAAAGCTGAGTTCAGTAGATCTCTTATCATAACATAGCTTCATGGAATCAGCAGACGTTTTGAAGTTTCAATGCTATTGATGATGAATATCATCCATCCTTTCAGATAACACTTTCACGAACTCTGACACATTTTCAGGCAACTCTTCTTAAGTTGGGCGTCCTGTTATTAGATCCACTGGCAACCGAAGTTCCCGACCAAACATCAGCCTTTGCTGGAGTGTATCCAGTGGCTTCATGCTCTGTTGTTCTATAAGCCATCAACAGCAGAGGGAGTAAGACATCCCAGTCATCTTGGCGGCTATTACAAAACTTTGCCAATTCCTGTCTCAGTGTCCAGTTGTACTTTTCTACAATCCCATCAGAGTGTGGGTGAAGTGGCGTTGTCCTGGTCTTTCATATGCCAAACAACTTGCAGCATTCATGGAACACAGCTGATTCAAAGTTACGGCCTTGATCCGAATGCAGTTCGTATAGTATACCAAATCTCTAATAGCCGAAGATACAGTTGTAGTTTCCTGATTTGGTATTGCATATGCCTCTGGCCACTTGGTGAAATAATCCATCACCACACAAATGTACCTGTTTCCAGCACGAGTTTGGGGCAAAGGACCAGCAATGTCAATGGCTACTCTTTCCATTGGTGCACCAACTTGATACAACTTCATTGGAGCACGTCCCTTATGCATGGGTTCCCTTTTAGCACAACATGTACTGCAGGTCCTGCACCATTCTTCCACATCTTTCCTCATACCTATCCATGTAGGTGAATCAATGTCTTTTTATCTCCGAGATGTCCTCCTGTTAAACTATCATGGGATTGACACAGCACGACTTCCCGTAACTTTCTCGGTATAACTGTTTGCCAGGTCATCACTTTCCCATCTACGGACAAGACTCCCGTCTTCAAGCTTCAACTGGTCCCATTGTGCCCAATAGTTCTTTATCACAAGGCTTAAGCTAGACACCTTCTCCCAAGCAGGGCACAAAACACTTGCTTGTAGAAAATCAATTACTGTCTTCAAATCTTGGTCTTTCTCCTGCTCTGCTTTAATATCTATACCTGGTTCCACTTCACCATCATTAACTGCTTCAGTCACTTTGACTTCAGCTTGATGGCACCTGGTTAGTTCAACCTCCCTTTTAATACTTACTGGAATTCAGCCTTTGTTGTTCCCAATCGTAATTTTATTGAAGTTAACTACATACTTCCTCGGTAGTAAGTAGTCCATCCCTAGTATGCATTGGTCTTCAATGTCAGCCAAGTATACTTTGTGTCTGTCCTTCATGCCCATGAGCTCAATAGTTACCCGCACTGGTCCCCACAACCTTGCATAATGTCCTGTCACACCACAGAGCTTCTGTATGGCTTCTGGTACTCCTTTGTGATCTTGATGCTCACAAAGGTTTGCTGAGATGCAGAATCTATGACAAGTTTGCACTTTTGGCCATCCAGCTTTCCTGTATTGTAGACACTATGTGTGCTTACCATTTTATACTTAGCTGTTGGGACTTTCATGATGGGGTTTGGTGGGCTTCCCTCAACACCAACCACTACTGGTCTCCCCGATGCTGACTTATTGGTGGTATTCTTCTTACACTGGCTCCTCATATGTCCTTGCTCTCCACAGTTTCAACAACCTTTTTGGGTAGCAGCCTTTCCTGCCATAGCATCCTCCCTGTGTTGAAGTTGCTGGCATTGAGCTCTCTTGTGCTCCAGTTTGTTACAGTGCCAGCAAAGTCCCTCAATCTTCTCTGAAAGCTGCCCTTTTCGGGCCTGATGATTGTACTAACCTTGGTACCTCTGTGCTGGACTTAATGTAGGAATCGAATTGAAGAGCTCTGGCCAATGCATTCTGCATAGTAGAGGGGTGTGATTGCTTTACTTGTATCTTCAGTTGTGGACTGTCCAAGGCATCTACAAACTAATCCCTCAGCAACAACTTGAGGAGATCGGGTGGTGCAGTTGGGTAGGCCTTGTGTGCCATACTTTCCAAATCCTGTACCAGCTCTTGCAGGCTCT